TTGCAGCTCACGTAGACGACGCGGCGGGCGCCGCACTCGCGCAGATAGTCGACAACGGCAGGGGAGAGGCCGGGCCTGGCGGGGTCGACGACCACGACGTCTGGATGCGGCAGCAGCCCCTGCAGCTGCAGCTTCTGCAGGTCGCCCTGCACCAAAAAGTGGCAACAGGCAGACGGCGTGGGTGGGGGCCTGCACTTCCCTATCAATTTGCTGTCTTTGCTGGGTCTGCGACACACCAGAAGGCCAGAGGGCTGCCGCAGCACAAGCTGATTGGGCTGGGGAGGCGTCTCCCCACCAGTCAACTCTCCCCAGCTGACCTGGAGAAAGGAAGCGTTTGCGATGCCATTGAGCGCAGCATTGCGCTCCGCATCCCGCACCGCCGCCGCGCTGACCTCCACGCCGTGCACATGCCGGCAGGCGGCGGCCAGGGTCAGGCCGATGCTGCCGGTGCCGCAGTACAGGTCCAGCAGTACATCGGTGGCGCGCAGCTCTGCACGGGGGCCGCCGCGGGGGGGCAGGGGGTATGCAGGCAGGGCTGGGGTCAGGAAAGATGCGCCACAAACAAACCACAAGAGCGCGTTGCTCTTCTGGCATCCAGACTAGACACGAATGCACGCCTGGGCATGCAGCCATGCACCAGCTACAGCCCTCGTGCCGACCCACACCTGCAGCCGCCGCCACCAGCCCGTACAGCGCCTCAGCCTGCCGCGTGTTGGTCTGGAAGAAGCTGTTGGCTGATACCTGCAGGGCCACGGCGGCAGCAGGCAGGCACCCCACTCTCTTCTGTGTCCACAACCTGTCCACAGGATGCCCAGCCAAGCACAGGAGGCTTAGCCAGCCACCTCCGTGCCACCCTCGTCTTCAAGCAAGCTCCGCACTCCAGCCCACACAGCCGCTCTGTGAGGAACCCCCGCCCAGCCAGCGTGTGCTCCGCGGCCAGCCGCCGCTCGCCCGCGGGCCGCCCCCGCTCAGACACGCTGTTGACCACGCCCACCACCACGGGCGGCGGCGTGGTGCTGGCGGCGGCGTGGGAGGCGCCAGCCGTCTGCTGCTGTGGCTGGTGCTGCGGTGGCGTCCCCTCCTGCATGAGGGCCCGGGCCAGCGGGGCCAAGGCCTGGCGCCCGTCAGAGGCCGTCACAATGTTGACCAGATACTCGCCTGCGCCCGCGCCGCCGCTGCTGCCGCTGCTGCTGCTGCTGCTGCTGCTGCTGCTGCTGCTGCTGCTGCTGGCCCTGCTGCTGCTTCCGAATGTGCCTCGCCGGATGACGACGTGCTGCAGCAGGCCGCTGCGTGCAGCGGGGTCGTGCGGCTGTAGGCCGTGCTGCCTGCACAGCTGCAGCACGCGCTGCAGCAGCTGGTTGGCGGCATCCGGCTGAAGGTCGCAGCGGCCGATGGGCAGCACTGCGGTGTTTGAGCCCGGCAGCTTCAGGCCCAGCACCAGGCCTCTCTCCGGCCTTGCTGCAGCACCTGCGCTGCTGCCGCCCGAGGCTGGTGCTGCTGCTGCTGCTGCTGCGCGCCGCAGTGGCCTGCTGCCATGGCTGCTGCCCGCTGCTGGAGCGCTGCCTGCCTCTTGCCCTCCCGGCTCCCGAGAGAAGCTAAACTCCATTCTATTCCTGTAAGCATACTGGTGCCCCGGAGGGCAGCCAACGATGGGGCGGAGCACAGCGGCCACGTCAGCAACGCCCGCTGTGCGCCTCAGCAGGTCCGCCACCTGTTGCTTCTTGGCTTTCAGCTGCGCCACATACTGCAGGCTCTGCAGGCTGCAGCCGCCGCAGGGGCCAAAGTGCTGCAGCGCGGCGTGGGAAGGGCGGCAGCAGCGGTGGGGTCAGCCTGCCGCCATACAGAAGCATGGCGCACCCCAGCGTGCTCCAGAGCATGGTACCCTATGCTGGTATGCATGCATGCAGGTGCATGCAGGCTGCTGCCAATGATTTCAAAATGTGGCAGGCAGGCTACGGTGGCGCACCGGGCACACGGGCGATGCCGCTGCCGCGTGTGGGCGCAGCGTCTGCAGCTTGGCAGCCTTGGCAAAGGACCGCTTGCTCTGCACCACCCTTGCCGTCAGGCGCTCGCCAGGGAGGGCGCGGTCGACAAACAGGACAAAGCCGTTGGGCAGGCGGCAGATGCCCTGCAATTTACGAGTTGTTGAGCCTCGCCGGTGGCAAGGGAGGCAGGCCAGCGCAACACAGCCAGCATCCTCCCCTGCAGCCGTCCGTAGCTATGGTGCTGGGCCGCAGCTGCTCACCTCTCCCCCAAAGGCCAGGTCGGTGCACTCCAGCTCCAGCACATCGCCCAGCACAGGCGCCGCCGCCTCGCCAGCGGCGGCGGCGGCCGCCGGAACCGTGGAGCGGCGCGCAGGCATCTCGCTGCCCGCTCTGCGTGTCACCTGCAGATGGTGCCAACCAGCCAGCCACCACCGGCTGTTGCAGCCGACACCATGGTGTGCACCAGCATGCACTGCCGCGTGCATACTGTTTTGCGATGGCTACACCATGTGCAATCGCAACTGAATCACCAATCATTTATGAGCAGCAGCAGCTCGAGTTCAAGGGGCAATCACGTGAAACGGCCAGCGTGGCGAGTTACCGGAGTACAGATGGTCTCTACCTACGGTGGGTCAGAGAGTCTGCCGGTCCCATGGCGCGCCGCAACAATGCCCGGGCTCGACAACCTCGACGATGCCGCTCTGACACGGCTCCTGCAACTGCTACCTGCGCAGTCTCTCACTGCAGCCTGCCAGGCGTCGAAGCGACTATCCCGGCTGTGCTCCCAGCAGCAGCTATGGAGGTACGGCGCCCGTCTTGTATTCTGTGGCGCGTATGAATGATCCCCCTAAACCCACGCATGTATCCTCGCCCCTGGGTTTGCCCCGCAGGGACTGCTACCGCAAAGATTTCCCGCGCTACTGCACAAACCCTGCAGCGGGGGGGCCGGGGCCAGGCGGGGCTGCCACCGCCGGCGGTCAAGACTGGCGGCGGGCCTACCGGTCGCGCCTCCAACACGACGCCAACTGGCGGACTGGCACACTGATGGGGCCTGTGGAGGTGCTGCGCAGCCATTCTGGGTGAGCAGCCAGGCCCCAGTCCACCTGGCGCGGCTGCATTTACCCGCGGTGGCTAGCCCTGGCTGCGGCAGCGTGCAGCCTATGAACATGTCCCTCCTTCCGGGACCCGCAGCTGGATAGTGCTGCTTTCCCAGCTATGAGGAAAGCAGGCTCTGGGCTGATCGCCCGGGCTTGACATGTGCCCAGACATGTGCTCACCTGAGTGTGTGTCCCCCACCAAATGCCAGCCCTCCTCCCAACCTTGCACCTCCCCCTCCCCGCACCCGCCCTCGGCAGGCCCGTGTTTGGGACCACATTCCTAGGGGCGCCCTTCCCGCCGGGACTGGCGGTGTCTGCGGGAGTGCATGGACCCCAGGAGAGCGCGGAGCTGACGCTGTGGGAGGTCGGGGGCCCGCGGTATCAGGAGGTTGGCCGCCTGGGCTGGCAGCTGCCCGCCAGCAGCCTGCAAAACCTGAGCGGCGCGTTTGATGTGCGGCAGGTCCCGGGCACAAACCAGGTGCGCCAGCGCAGGCAGCCAGGCACGCGGGTATTGCCTGCTGCATAGCCCGGTCTGGCATTGCAGCTGCAGGCTTGCCAGGGCAGGCATGGAAGACACCCTCCCAATTCAATCTCAGAAAATGCCAAAATCCCGTCCGACATTTCGTCCCGGAAGCCTGCGCCCCCTTGCCACCTGGCCCACTGCCGCAGGTGCTGCTGTGCGGCTTCGGATCAGACGTGAACCTGGCCAGCATCCACCCGCTCTCCAGCTGCCAGCTCGGCAGCGCAGCACCACACTGGGGCCAGCAGCAGCAGCAGCAGCAGCAGGCAGCAATACCAGGGTGGCCGGGCAGCGCAGCGCCGTCGGAGCACGCCGGCGGTGGCTCTCCAGGCAGGGGCCCGGGCCGCATGGATGAGGGGATGTCTTCGCAGGAGGGCTCGGCGGGCTCGGCGTGGGGGCAGGACGGGGATGTGGGGGCTGCCAGTGCGCCGCTGATGCAGCACGATGTGGAGGCGGCACTAGGCGCAGAGGTCTGCGCCATGCGCAACTGGCTGGTGAGCGGGAGGTGCTGGCTGCACCCGCCACCCGTGTGTGGGTGTGGGTGTGTGGCTTCTCGTGCTGTGGCAGGCGCGGCGTTCGGCGCTGCGTCAGCATTCTTGCCCCCCAATGTGGTCCCCTCGCCGCATGCACCCTTGCCACTTGCCCCATGCACTTTGGCCTTGCCAAGCAGGCGCTTACTTGTCCCCACCACTCCCGCCTCCCTCCCCTGACAGGTCCGTGAGGCCACCAATCTCAAATACAGCAGCTGGGGCGCCCCGCTGCCGCCCCCTGGAGCCGGCTACACGCTGCGAACCGACTGGGTGCTGAGGGGGCATGCCGCGGCCTGCGTGTCAGCGGCAGCGCAGGACGGCCTGCTGGCCACAGCCTCCTTTGATGGCAGCGTGAGGTTGTGGCGGGCACCGCAAGAGCAGGTGCGTGGTGGTGGTCGGGTGGCGGTGTTTGGCGGGGCTGGTTAGAGAGGCAAGGTGGCTGGTCTGGCATGAGAGCCTGGTTGCCCAGCTGGGCTGTTGCCCAGGTCTGCCCAAGGTACAACCAAGTTGAGGCGGTGCACGCACGGTGAATCGCCTGCCATGCTGTATGTATGCAGGCCGGCAGCAGCGGCGGCGGCGGAGAAGGGGAGCAGGCGGCGCCTGTGGTGCTGGAGGCCGCCGCGGTGTGCTTGGATGAGGAGTCGGCTGGCGAGGCGGTCCTGCCGCCGGTGTGCTGCGTGGCCATCGCGCCAGACTGCCAGCAGCTGGTCTCTGGGGGCAACGACCGGCAGGTAGGGGGTGGCGGGTGGGCGGGCTGTTCTCTACGTGCACGCACTGCTCTTGCCGGTCCTGGGCCTGCTTGCCCCGCCCTTCAAGTCACACTACAAGCACGCAATACGCGATGGATGCTGCCCGCCGCTGCAGGTCAAGCTGTGGGATGTGGAGCTCCAGGCTGTGCTGACCCGCATGCACGGCCACACCGGCTGGGTGTGGAACCTTGCGGCTGTGGAAGGTAGTCGGAGGGAGGCAGGAGGCAGGCCAGAAGCTGACTATGCCCGTGGGACTGGGGACTGCTGCGCATGCTGGCCGGCTGGCAAGCAACGCCACCCCGCTGCCATTCTTTTGGCCCTGCAGACAGCCTGGATGTGCTGGCATCTGGTGCTACTGACAGCACGGTGCGGCTGTGGGATGTGCGGGCAGGCGCAGAAACCGCCGTGGTGGAGGTCAGCACGGCAGAACCCAAGTGAGTGGGCAAGCAGCGAGACATGTAGCCGGCACCTTGCATGCCCCGTCGGTGCCAGCCATGGCAGCATGTGACCGTTGCTCTCGCTGCCCACCACACCCCGCCCCACTCCAAGGACACAAACCACTGCCACCTGCCGCAGCAACGCATACCCCATTGGCGGCATGGCCATCCGCCAAGACAACCGCTACATTGTGTGTGGCTGCTTTGACGGCAGCGTGTATGTCATCGACTGCCGAGCCATGAAGGTGGGCGGGCGGAAGAGAAGAAGGGGAGGGGCAGGAGGCTGCCAGCCCTTCCCTTCACCTGGCACAGGCGTCTTGCTGCCGAGGCGTAGGGTGCATGTGGGGCAGAGCTTAGGCAGGGCAGTGGGCATGCCTGGCCCATGCACTTTCCTCCCTCCCATCAGCAAAACTCTTTGGGGATGGAGATTGAGGGAGGCCTGCTGCCCGCCTCTTGGCCTGCAGCTGCTGCACAAGCTGGCTGGCCACTCGGACCGCGTGACGCGCGTCTCCTGCCAGGGCGACGCCATCCTCTCCGGCTCCTTTGACGGCAACGTCTGCCTCTGGCAGTTCTGACTTGGCCTGCGGCACTCGTGAGAGCCGGCAGTTGTGGCCACCGTCGAGGGAGACTGCGGGGAGCGCCGCGGCCCGACGATGGCGCCCAGCACATGTGCAGATGATGCCCAGCACTGTGCAGCCGTGTCTGTGGGTCACTAGATGTGTGATGTGATGTGATGGCACAGAGGCAATGCCCATTAATGGGCTGGGGGCACACAAGCCGTGCCCACTAGCTCTGGACTGTATGAAAGCATGCAATACCGCCCGGGCGGCAAAGGGCGGGCTCAGGGAGCGGTCGGGCGCAAAGGGCGGGGAGGGAGGCGAGGGGCGCCTGATGGCCAGCCCAAGGGCGGCAAGCATACCAGTGGGGGGGAGGGGCAGGTCGAGGACCCGCACACCACCACCACCAGAAAGCGGGCCCACCCACCCCCGCACAGTAGCTGGGAGAGCGGCCAGGCGGGCGGGCGGTGGCCGCAAAGGTGAAGGCGGCACGCGGGAAGACCGGGCAAGGGGAGGACGGGGCAAGCGCAAAAGCGCAAGCATCTGCGGGTTACGGGGGGGAGAGTAGGGGCGTGACGACCAGAACGGCAGGCACGGAGTGAGCGAAAAGAGGGGGGGACGGCGGGCCGCCCGG